GGTAGTAAACGCGGCTAAACTCCACACAGATGACGAAGAGGCAACAGAAGCAACAAAAATATGGTTATACCTTCTTCATGTGAGAATACCATGGTCAAAACATGTAAGCAACGAAAAAGTTCTAGCAACAGTCTGTCAATTATGTGTCGAGCGTGATACACGCTTAGGCGATCATATATCGACAGATTCATGACTGACGAGGCAGATTTTTTTCTTGTAGTAGTTTGGCATTTTCTTTCTGCAGCAGACCAGTTGCCATCCAATGCTATAGAATAGCTAGAGAAGAAGAAAATTCATACCTTTCCAACATCGACTCTTTAGAGGGAGGACAACACAACAGATAGATAGATAGATAGATAGATAGATAGATAGATAGATAGATAGATAGATAAGGAACAGGCCGTGATAGATAGATAGATAGATAGATAGATAGATAGATAGATAGATAGATAGATAGATAACATATGACATAGATAGATAGAAAGATAGAGAGATAGATAAAATATGACATAGATAGATAGATAGATAATGAACAGGCTGTGATAGATAGATAGATAGATAGATAGATAGATAACATATACACGCTTAGGCGATCATATATCGACAGATTCATGACTGACGAGGCAGATTTTTCTTGTAGTAGTTTGGCATTTTCTTTCTGCAGCAGACCAGTTGCCATCCAATGCTATAGAATAGCTAGAGAAGAAGAGAATTCATACCTTTCCGAAGAGCATTTATGAATGTAAAGTGAATGTGAATGAAATAGATTCGAACTCGGTTCGCCGATTCCTCAATCCGATCCGCTATCCATTACACCACCAATGGAAACCAAAACCAAGAAAATGGATGCTTAGGCTTAAAATCAAGAAGAGACAGTTGAAATTTATGGGTCACATAATGAGGGAAAAGTGATACAAATTTTATTAATCGGTACAAGGGGCGGGAAATTGTGGAGAGCCATGATCGCCAGTGTCCTCAGGGGAACGCGGCAAATAAATAATACTACATTTATACTTGATCTGAATATCGCCTTGGAGCGGGAACCTCACACTGATTAGATTCTTTTGTCCACATGTCGAATTGATCTATCTTCGATACTTAACACTTTTATCTATAAATATAGAAAATTTTAAACAAATACAATATATTTATTTATCAGACACACACACTTGCATGCAAACACACACTTGCACGCTCATATACGTACAGAAGCACAAAGCGTTCTGTATACAGGTAATAATAATCCTGAAGTAGCTATATATAAAATAAATTGCCAAAACTACTTCTTACAATATATTGGAGAAACTTTCAGAAATTAAAAACAATTATTTAAGAACACAAACAATTTATCAAATACATTAGTTATACATAGAAATAAATTAAACCAAAATTTTACTCTAAAGGATGCCAATCTTATTAAATGAGAAAGTAACTTAGAAGAAGAATTCTCGAGAGTGTTGCTATGGAATTTTATCAAAATATAAATCTGCATCCCGGATTTTTTTTCTAATATTTCCATTCCGAAAAGAATTAGTACTTTCCCGAGACAACATACATGTCTATAAAAATGTTATAAAATTTAAAAAATAGAAAAGGGATAAATTTGTATACCCATGTTATTTTTTTTAAATATATATCATAAATAAATCCCAAACTAAAATAATTTAAATACTAATTTGCATTGAAAAAATTAAATTCAATAACATAACTTAAGTTTATTAGACAGTGAATTGTGTCACTTGGAGTCCTCCATAGATTAACTTTTCGGTTAGCCTGATGAATACTTTTTTTTTTTTCTCTTGCATATAAATACTGGTTACAAAATAAAATCCTTACTGTTATGAATAATCAAAAGTGGTTTTCCCTTGACTTGTTATTATTCTCTTTTAGAGAGCTATTACTATTTACTGGGACTATAAAAAGACACTCTACGCGAACCTTGTATTCTCAGTTGAATAAAGCTTTGGTAAGGCGAACTTTTGTCATTACACTTACATTTGCCATAATAAAGTCTCTTTAAGTAGGAAACGCCTCCGCTATCTTTTTGGCTTCATACACAGAGAAAATTACGCCAAATTAATTATAGAGTAATAAAAAAGAAACGGCACGTACACAATCTATTGTCTTGATTATACAAACATATCAATAATAATATATCACTAATAAACATATCAATAATAAATATATCAATAATTAATATATCGATCCCACAAATGTCCCACATTATTCTTTACCTGCAAAACATTTATTATAATTATTTATTAAAAAATAAAAATTATAATAAATCCATTGCAATAAAAATTATGAAAATAAAAATCTTAGCAATGAGTTTAGTATGAATTAAATGAATTCTCGTAATAAATGAAGCACACACCTCTGTGTATATAGGCAGGCACGGTGGAGTAATGGATAACGGCTAGGATTGAGGAATCGGAGAGCCGAGTTCGAATTACAGTATAATCCTTTACATTCACTTACGTAATACCCTTGGGAAATATGTGAATTCTCTTCTTCTCCTTCCAGATACAGTTAAATAGCAGAACAGACAGGTTCTATAGCCCCTTGGATAATAGCAGAACAGACAGGTTCTATGGCCTTGTATGGCAACTGGTTCTAGGAGAAGGGCAACTCTCAATTCAAAACTTGCGAAGGGTCGGTTGGGGACCTTTTGGCATGTAGTACACCAAGTCTCTGTATTCGGCCCTTCAAAAAGTGTGGATGGTTATGCACAAAACCATCACCATGTGCCAGTGTCGGTTCCTAGGAACTGATCTGCTTGACACACATACGTCGAATTCGACGGGAGAGTCGAGTATATATATATATATTACTAATTGTAGAAATATGTGTTATGGATATGCTTGCATGTTTCATTCGAAGACTTTACTAGAGAGAAATTAGTAGTGAATGCATCTTTACGGATTGGGTTCTCCAGATAATGTAGTAGATATGGTATTTTCCGTTATGTTACACTTGACAAATGAAATGACATCGTTTATTCTTGTGTTATTTCTTATATTCAAGTTAGTTTTATTTTTTTAAATAAATGGATAATATGCTTGTAATTTTTAAAAAAATAGATTTGATCACAAACAAGGCACTAAAGCCACTAAGACACAATGTGTTACTGGATGTGGAAGAATTAGCAACAGAAATATTAGTAATAACCACGAAGAGAAAATAATAATCAGAAGGAAGGGAGATAAGGATCGACAAATTATTTGGAGATTAAAGTTGGCTGGAAAGCATGCAACCGGAAGGGAGTTCTGCATACGTGAAGTAAGAGAAAAGAAACTGTTAGCATAAAATTTACGGTTACATTTAACCAGCTCAATACATTGATGAGATCTCAACGCCAGGGTAACACTGCGCTTAAATTAAAAAAAGTCTAGGTACCATAGAAAAGACCTCAGCCGAAAAATTAATATGAAAGTACTTATAGAAAAGATGCAGTGAAGCAACCTGACGGTGGTGGGAATGTGACTGAAGCAGAGCCGCCATGTCAAAATCAATAATATTGCTGATTCTTCTTTGTATTTTATCAAGAAGCTCAAGGTAAATAGCAGGGGCACTGCACAGTATGTGGTAGCAATATTCTAATCATAGACAAATGGTAGACTTATAGTTATGTATGATAGATTCTGGAGACAAAAATTGTTTCGCACGACACAGACAATCAACTTTCTTAGTAACTGACCTAGGGATGGATTCGTTATAGTCTTTTCACTTCATATTAGCAGAGAACAATGGTCTGAGTAGGCACAACGAGTTACCTTCCTGGAGGCTAGCATCGGCTATGTTGATGGTAGGCAGAAATGGGTCTCTCAGATGAAGTTCGATTTTAATTCTGAAATAATAATTAAAAAAAACGTCAATATATTCTTCTTTTTATTGGAAACAAAAGAAAACGAGCCACATTACTGTCTAATTGTCACCGGAATATGTGAACCAGCAAAAATGTTACGGTGGCGCTTGGAACTTTAGTATAGAATCTAAAAATGTGAAAGAAAAATAAACTGTAGAAATTGGAAATCTGTAGGAGAATCTTGAACAGGATTTTTTTAAAAATCATTTTCCCCACCTTCGTCATGCAAGACAATAAAGACGCTAAGATGCAAAAGATTATTTAGCATGACGTGAAAGTAGACAAAAAAAAATAATAAAAGAACAGGACTTAAGAAAAAAACAAAGCATAAGGATTGACATTGCATTTAAATTTTCAATATCAAAGTAGACTGGAAAGCAAGAGACCGAAAGAGACGGGAAATGCGAGAGAAGAAACTTTTAGCATAAAACTTACGGTTACATGTAGTCATTTCAGATATAAAATGATGAGACCTAACTGCCAATCTTGTACTGCGCTTAAATTCGTCAATTTGAGGCACCAAAGATTTATTAAGAAGGCTGATTATTAAAGGTTACTCAGATTTTTTTTTTATTTTTATTTTATGAAAAGGTTTAATGTTACGAAGTTTCAAATAGAAAAGCCCATCAGAGCATTTATCTGACGATTGCGTCCTCATTCTCTCCCACTGGTCATATATATATATTCTGTCGGATTTATATCCATTTACACTTGCTTATATATATATATATATATATATATATATATATATGTATGTATGTATGTATGTATCTGTGTGTGTGTAAAAATATATAGAAAATAGGAAAGAAGACCCATGCCCTTTATGCCTACATGAAAAACTACACATTATCAAGTTTCTAAATAATAAAAATGTATTAAACAATAGACATGAGTTAACGGTTTTTTGCCGACATCATCAAATTTTCGCATTGAATAATTAGCATAAAAAACAAACAAACAATAAAATAATAAATACAAATTTTAAACTCCATAGTCTAAATAAAAAGTTTAAATGCCCTACAAAAAAAATAACCCTTTATGAAGTCGTCAAAAAACAAATGTTAGCGAATTATGACATTTTTTATATACACAAAACCCTTTCAGAAAAAAAAGAATAAAAAATAAATAAATCTCCATAGACACTTAACCAGACTAGACGATGTCATCTTCCGCCTTAAATTTAGACACTCCAACCTTACCCTGACTTGACATCTGTAAATGTAACTGAGATATTGATACAAATTATTAACACCTTACACCTTTAAATAATTGCTCTAGCCGTTACCATAGTAATTTTAATTTTAATAATGAATATGCTTATAAAATGCGTAAATTTCAGGAATTATTTATTCCAAAAAAATTTCGCTTCAAGATAGAACAGAGCTTGGTACTTTAATTCAATTTAATTCAAATAATTATATTGAAGTTTTCGGCTCTTGTTTTTGAAACATGAGAACTCTTATGTAGGGATGGAATCATATTTTTCAATAAATATATATATATATATATATATATATATATATATATATATATATATATATATATAAACTGGAGTCTAAATGGGAATAACTGGGTTACATTCCTAGATAAGATATAAATATCCCTTCAAACAAGGAATATTTATGTAATTTCTGTATAGTTTTCAATGGTCAAGTTTGTTTTCGTTTGTTATTTACGTTGGAAAATTTTTCCGTATGAAAGTGGGCGATGGC